ATCTGTATGTACAGTTACTAAATCTCTACTTGCTGCATCTATTGCTACCCATCGTCCTGTCAAAGTTCCAATTGTAATCACAGTTCCTGATGGATGAAATGCTGCTGACTGACATCCATCCTGTTACAAATACAATACAAGTATCAATAACAATCTTCTCATCTTGAGTAATGACAACTTATGTGTATTTTGGATTCATACTGGATGAATGAGCACATGCTAGTACCTATCACAGGTTTAGCAATTCACAGCATTCGGTTCAACTAAACATCATAGATAGAAACCTCACAGATTACAATCTATCTTGACCCATCACATCCATATATCTATACTATAAAGTGATTTTATTTTTCACTATACATTTATTCATACATCATATTACATCATATTTGACCTCCATTATTGTATCATCAACTTTCTGAACACCACGATATTTTCCACTAAAACTTGGTGCCACATATTGACTTTTTTGGTAAATTTTTTGCTATCCTTTTGAACCAAATAGACAAAATTTCTTATTGGCTGCAGGCCTTGGTCAAAATTTTGGAAAATGTTGTGAGTTTTGATTTGAGAATAATGACAAAAGTAGACTTTGCATTGAAAGGCTTAATAGGAGCCAAGTCTTCCACAACAAACTGTGATTCACTGTTCACTACAATATATAATATTCACAGAAAACATTGAGTGCTAAGATACATTGAATAAAATATACATACAGGATCACAATTTAAAGATATCTGATTAAATTGATTTTTGCATTAACAAAATAAATAATACTCACATCCAAAACTTTGGTCCAAATTTGTGAATGAGATGAACTATCCCATAATATTACATGTTTATCATAAGCACAGGTGAGGAATTGTTTTGATGATGGATGAATGGCTAATCCCCATAATTCATCTGTATGTGTTTGCATAATAGTATAGAAATCACCAGAAACACTGCCTTGTAATATTGCATTCTTTGTTGTGCCAACCAGGATCTGATCATCTTTGCCTTGACTAATTGTTCTAATAGGACCTGTCAATTCAGGAAGTTCTTTTTCCACATTTGTTTGAATATATCGTCTATCCCATGCTAGTATTTTCCTGTCTTTCCCACCACCGGAGAGCAGTGTTCCGTCTTTCATCACACATAAACCAAATACTGGACCTTCGTGTGCTCCAGGTACTGCATAATATATCCTATTGTTACCTGCAACATCAACACATTTTCATTACATCATATACATTCACTCAGTTTTTGAAATCCATTTCATAGGGGAAAACATTTCAGTCAAATGTATGGAATAGTGCCTTAGGTAACTAAATTTTGTACATAGGGATATTTATCTTGACAGATGTAAAAGAACTTTTACATGAACAATTGAAGTAAACAAGGAAGGCATAATAAATCATTGCTATAAATACATTTATACTTCCTCCTGTCCTTAGTGGCCTTCACTAATACCGCCCCCCATGTGGTAAACCCTGGTATGCCAATTGTTTTTATAGTATGCTTTATTACTACAAAATCTCAACTTTTACACAGACATTTTTTTTTATTCTTTGGAGCAGATTAGTTCTAGTATTATGAAATTATAAATACGCATAGTAACAATAGATTCTGACCGGTCACTGGTAGCATAGTGGTTGTCGCATCAGACTCATTGTCAGTAGACCCAAGTTCAAATCCTACTTCAGGCTGAACATCAAAAGGGTCAACCCCTACCCTGGGTGAGTATGCCACAGACTAAATGGGAAGGCCAACTCCACTGGCTGAGATTCATTCACTAATGAATGTGACTTTGGGGGAACCTTGGTTAAGGTCCGCAGGTGCTTGTGTTTCGACCGAGCCTGGTTGACTCCAGGATAGCGCATTAAAATTGTCATGTAGTCCCAAACATGAATATGACTTCTGTGGCAAAATGCACTACATGTCAGCACTAGCACTTGCAATTGGCACTTATATAAAAAAAGTCAGGAGTGACACTCAATGGTCAGAACTGTCGCCTGGCACAAAAACAAAAAAAAACAATAGATTCTGAAGAGAATCTTACTATTATCTTTACTAGTTGTTTAGATAAATAAAATTAAAACATGTAAGCATCCATGGGATAGAAGATATCTTTTATTTGATAGAATGCTCACCTCTGCCCCAGACGAATATGTTGCCATTAGAGTCGCCTGAGATGATGTCACCATTGTCAGCAAAGGCAATACATAACACAAACTTGGGTTTTTCATATTTCTAACAAAGAAATAACAACATGTATTACTGGTAATGACACTCTATAAGTCCCTGTTTATGGACTGCATCTGATCTGGAACAACCAAACTCGGTCAAAACTTTTCAACAGAGACGCATCAATACATAATTCATTTCGTACACAATAAAACTGTGACAATAGCAAAGGACTGACCTCAAAGACACCAGATTTTTTCGACAGTCTTCCATCTTCCAATGTCCAGAATGCGATATGTGATTTACCACATGTTACCATCTGTTTACTGTCCATGGGATGGAACTCAGCTCCTAAAACTGTGTCATTAGAACTCTATGAAAAATGAAAATAATTATAAATGTAATTTATATTCAACTTGGTATTACAAACTTCATGAAATAACATTAATTCTCATTACAGTACAGATGTGTCACACATCCAGTAACTTAACTTCATTCTAGAGTTTGTATTATTAGTTAATTACCTTGGTTTCTGATAGTTTACTTCCTTTTTCTCCTTTATTCCATTCCCAGACTGATAAGACATGGTCATTGGCGTCATCTACAGCCAAAATATGAGACCCTCCATCCTGTGTAGTGAAAATACCAATAATCAGCGACAGGCTTCTACTGGTTGTCCATCTTCATTAAATACACATACTTAACTGTATTACACAGGATTATATTTCTTAGAGACTTACTGATTTAGAGAATGACACACAACATACTGCTCTATCAAAGTCATTAATACCAATTATGCGAAGTGTTGTCAAGGATACTGAATCCCAGATTCGAACATGGGGCTAGAAATAAAAAAAAAATGCAGTGTCAAGCTTGAGGGCGCTATTTTTTAACCATTAAACTCATGAGGGCACTATTTATGCTGGACTCTACTATGATATGTATTGATAGCATTTCAGGCAAACTAACAATTAAAATTATCATTTACAGAAGTGAGCTGAAAATAGAAATTTATATCATACTACATTGTACAATGATCAATGAGTAAAAGAAAAAACTATTTTAACATCATCAAATAGTGATACCCTATCAGCACCATGGATTATTGACATGTCAATACCTTATCTGCACCATGGATTATTGACATGTCAATACCCTATCATCACCATGGATTATTGACATGTCAATACCTATCATCACCATGGATTATTGACATGTCAATACCTTATCTGCACCATGGATTATTGACATGTCAATACCTTATCTGCACCATGGATTATTGACATGTCAATACCTTATCAGCATCATGGATTATGGACATGTCAATACCTTATCATCACCATGGATTATTGACATGTCAATACCTATCATCACCATGGATTATTGACATGTCAATACCTTATCTGCACCATGGATTATTGACATGTCAATACCTTATCTGCACCATGGATTATTGACATGTCAAAACCTTATCTGCATCATGGATTATTGACATGTCAATACCTTATCAGCATCGTGAATTATTGACATGTCAATACCTTATCAGCATCGTGGATTATTGACATGTCAATACCTTATCAGCATCGTGGATTATTGACATGTCAATACCTTATCTGCACCATGGATTATTGACATGTCAATACCTTATCTGCACCATGGATTATTGACATGTCAAAACCTTATCTGCATCATGGATTATTGACATGTCAATACCTTATCAGCATCATGGATTATTGACATGTCAATACCTTATCAGCATCGTGGATTATTGACATGTCAATACCTTATCTGCAGCATGGATTATTGACATGTCAATACCTTATCAGCATCATGGATTATGGACATGTCAATACCTTATCTGCATCATGGATTATGGACATGTCAATACCTTATCAGCATCATGGATTATTGACATGTCAATATTGCATGTCAGGATGGGATATGACAGACTGCATGTCAGGTTGGGATATGACAGACTGCATGTCAGGTTGGGATATGACAGACTGCATGTCTGGTTGGAATATGGCAGAGTGCATGTCAGGATGGGATATGGCAGACTGCATGTCAGGTTGGGATATGGCAGAGTGTGTGTCTTGATGGGATATGGCTATAAATAATTTATAAAGTGCACCTCCACCTTCCAAGTTTACTTTTACTTCGAAAAAAAGACTGATATAAATCATCAACATGAACATTAACTGCCCATTGTTTTTTAAATGTAAAATGAAACATGAGCTGGAAAAAAGAAATAGCAATTGATAAGCAAGCTACATATGGTAAAATTCATACATAAAAACAACAAATAATATCATGCAAATCTCTTTTACAAAATCAATAAACCATGCAAATTGTGGTTCAAATTGTACATACCGCATAGACTTTTATCTCAGATGAATCAGTGTCATCGGTAGTGGTACTATCAGAGTTGGTACTGGCTGAGTTGGTGCATGGGGATTTCTACAAAAATCGCACAAGAATGGAGGAGTACACAAAAGTAGTGCCACCGAATAAAGCATACATGTAACAAGCACAGTACATACAGACACATAGTTGAATGACACCATATAGAAAAGATAAATATGCACTCACCATGGCAACCCACCACCATTAATCATCATGGAAACGTTAAAGACCAGAAGAATGTTCAAGAGAACCATCAACAAAACTCAAGAACTGAATGTCTTTATAATTTGGATTCAAGTAGGAATTTAATGAAGAAATATTTTTATTAAAAAATGCATACTGATGAATCATTATTGATATAATTATTTTATTTTACATTTATAAAAATAAATATCATTTGGGGATGTCAAGATGTGTAGTAGCACTCATCAATCTAGCTAGTGAGATAATTTACAAAGTTTGTCAGTGATCTTGTTGGAGAAATTATGAGAGAAAAAATGATGGCATGGGAAATGAATTGTATTTTAACTCTATTAACCTAAACATTTATAAAGTAATGTTGACAGTTCTCAGAAGTAAACACCAAGGCAATACAGTCACAAAAATGCAAGGGCTTGAGTCAAGCAGGATACACAGCTATGAAAGCAACACCAATGTCAATGAAATGATACCCACTTTTACTCAAAGTCATCATAATTCAGGAAAAAGATCCTTATAACCATGGCAACCAAAAAAGCAAAAGCACCTTAAGTAAACTTTGATGTACTCATTAACATATACATGAAGAAGAGAAACACAATGAGTTAAAATCGTTGAGAATAGATATGAATTCGATTACATGAATGTCCCATATTAAGTTTATTAGTAAGAAAACAAGAATGAAAGAAGTTTTCACCTAACTGCGTTTTGAGGGACCCCAATATTCTAACACTTTTTTTCCAATTTACCAAATTTTCATTCATAACTATTTTCTCTTCCTTCAACCCTATTTTGTTACCTTAGCATCTGTTTTTCTTTCATGTCCAGCTACCTGTCCAGTTGCTATGGTAACTTTATCAGGATGTACTGCTATGCTGTGAAAAACAACAATATTAAAATCAACAAAAGTTGTACAAGTTTGTTTGGCATAATAGTAATTATTATTTAACATCATTCATGTATACTGAATTATGTAAAAGTTTTTCAATAATTCAAAATAAATGCATACTATTTTACCACTTGTTTAACTTTTCAATGACAAGATTAATTTCTCCCAAAGACAAACCGCAACACGGGTCAACATTGGCTAGGGAGAAGAAATTCTTACCACTTGACATCGTCTGTATGTCCAAGGTAAAATCTTTGCATTTCCTCTTCAATGTTGTACAATACGACTACGGCCGCTATAAAATAAACTATTTCACCAGTTGGCAGCAAATGTAAGTTATTTCTACAGTCTCGTCCACGGTAGCCATAGCTAGTAGTTTATAGTTAAGAAACAATATTTACTCTATATAACCCATTAGAAGTGCACGCAAAATAAACCAAGATGAACAAGGCAGTTTTGTTTCAAAGTTATATTGGAACTGCACGTCTGATAATGGATGAAATGTAGCAGATGGCTTTGTCAGGTGACATATGATGAACACATTGTACTCTATACATTTACATTACATTGAGTAAAACCATATATTAAATTCACGTAATTGAGTGCTGAATAACAGCAACAACTAGACATACAAAGGATACACCCAATCCAATTTAAGTTTTTCAGGTGGCGCCAATCCTCCTTTAACAACAGAATAATCTTTCAAATCTGATGGTCCATACATAGTTATAGAGCGCCCTCGCAGGTAGATTTTAACAAAACCTTCATCTGCCAAAGACGAAAAAAATTTGACATACATTTTACAAGACAAGTTATACAATGTATATACTTAATACTATAATTTCCAGAGAAAGGACCATTTGCGAGTTTGTGTCACATGGTAAAATGTTGAAATTATCCGCAATTTTGTTTGTAGTTGTTGATACAAAACAGCTAAGAAAATCCTCTTAATATTCATTTAACATAATAGGAAGTATTTGCAGGTGAACTTTTGACCGCAATTGTGCAGTAGCTTTGTGAAAATTTGAATAAATATGATCTGTTGATGGTGCACATCATGCACAAAAGAAGCCTGCAATATTACTGGCATAATTGAACAAATCGCAAATTTGAAACACACAAATTTTCTATTCACTATAGGTTCATTGAACCAATGTACCCAGATTACAAGCAATAAGTGGATCACCATTGTGTCAAACCTAATTTCTAAAGATACTTTCCAGAATGAATCATCCATCTGAATTTTGTATTCAGCTTTGAATTCAGTATATGGATGGTTTAAACAAGGAACAAACTTGGTGTAAATATATAGATATTGGAGATTAATTTAAACAAATCCTACGTGATTTAACTTTACATAAAAAAAGGAAGATAGAAACTGGGAATAGGACGTTATAGAGTTTAGCAGAAAAAAAGCTCCAATCACCATTAGATTTATAATTAAAAGTGTCACCAAGGATTAACATATCTAGTTTTTACTATTTCTAAATATAAATATTATCAAAGATTTACAGAATAAAGGTACATGTATGCAACTTTGATATCCAAGTATGATGACATCCAAATCAAAATTAATTTTATTTTTAACCAATACCATCACAATTTGAATTTGATTGAGTTCCGATAAACAGGAATTACTGCCGTAATGAAAAACGCATTACGGTAAGACATAATATAGATTCTTTGAATACGCAAGGACACTAGCAAATACCCAAATATAAACATTGAGCAGTTCTTCTAACAGACTCATTCATTTGCACTGGTATTTCTATAAAACGTTTGTAATGTGATTTTCTGATGATCTTGGAATTCGTGTGTCACTGTTTCAATTCTCATGAGATTTCCATTGCATATCACTTGTATAACCGTATTTTATAAATCCTTGATGTTATACTATGTGGTCTTATATTCTTTTCATTCATTGTTTCTCTGTTAATATTTTATTTATTTAAATTAAGTTTTTCAATGACGACATGATTGCGATAAAGTTCAATCTTCTGTAAATACTCGGCTACAATAATCAAATTTTATTATGACTCAAAGACAACAAATCACAGCTACTTTCATAACTTTTGTCATGACGGATCCCAATAAATCATCAAATCACGAAAATTGAATAGTACACAGTATATCAACATAGTACCGGGTTATATATACAATCACCACCATAACAATATCCCATCACCATGGAAACAACATGCCAGGGGATGCAGCATTTTGTTTGTTATTACACTTACCCATATATGAATGTTAGAATATGGGGTGGGTTAGATATGTAAAAAATAACAATACAATATGTCAACACATGTTTTTCAATTTGTTTGTTAATGTTGCATTGTTAGAAGATATTAATTGGTCTTTAATTTCATTGATTAGGAAGAAAACATTACACCACATTGCAATGACGTTTCTTCACTTTATTTGTCCATCAATTGCCACACCAATGGCAGACATCAGTATCAAGCACAAATAACCTGATGAACTCAGTCAGTATCCTACCTTTATTGTACATTGCGTCTTTGGAAACTCTACAAATAAACATAGAAAAGAACATCAATGAACGATTTCCAATTATAAAAAGTTTTCAAGCAAGAATTGCAGAAAACATCTTTCGTTGACTAGTGTAGTCTATTCTTAATGTTATATAATGAAATGCTGATGTAGAAAGCAACCGTATCTCAGAGTCTTATCACAACATTACAAATACTTACGGAGGCCCTTGGTTTTTCTGTTTTGGACTAGCCAGGTTTGTTAATGATCCACTTTTTTTGTTCCTACAGCATACAAAGAGAATAATAATTAATGATTTTTCACAATTATAATTATAAATGTTCATCATTCTGTAGTTATGGTAACCTTTAATCTGACACCACTTCATGTTGACCTTGAGATATAGATATCATTCATTTTTCTGATCTATGTACAGTGATTTACTTGTCAGTTGTCTTGTTCTTGTTGATTGTAGTTTATTATAATGATTGTGTTATACTTATAAATCTAGTC